AGAAGACTCCCAGACACAGTGATGATTAGAAGTAATGGGTGGTTTCTGAACTGCGTGGTGCTCAGTGGTGGCGCAGAAAGAAAGTCCTGGGTATGAATCTCAGCTCTGGACTTCCTGTTTGGAATTCCTTCCACACACTGTGTGTGTGTGTGTGGTGTGTGGTGTGTTTTGTGTGTGGTCTCTGTCGGTGTGTGTGTGTGTGTGTGTGTAGGTTTTCTGCCACAGTCCAAAATCCTACATATCAGTTGGCTGGAACATCTAAATTGTTTGTTTTTCTGTGATGATTCACCCAAAGAATTCTGCTGCTGACCCTGAACATGTATAAGTGGGTGTCGAGCAGTTGTTCTCAAACTGTGGGGCGGGTCCCACTGGTGGGGCGTAGAGCCGCTGTAGGTGTGGAACAAGATTGAAGGGTGATTTAGTATGTAGAGAAAATAAATAAACAAGAGTTTGCTGATGCCGTTGTGCACTCATATCATTGTTAATGGTTGCTAAACATTTGGGGAGTGGTGGGGTCATGCTGGAGAAAGCATAAAAACCAATGGTGTAGGGAAGGGATAAGATGACAGGTGACAAAATTAAAGGAAAAAACAACATAAAGTGTCTTATTAAGTTGTTGGGTGAGCAGCTTCAGTGCATTGATTTTAGAAGTCTCTGGAACTTTACTGTGGGGATGAACACCATTCTTCCAGAAGATATTCCCTCATTTGGTGTATTTGATGAAGGTAGTGGAGATCGCTGTCTAACATGATAGAGAGATAGATAGATACTTTATTTATCCCGAGTGAAATTCAAGATGTCCCATAGGTATTCAGCTAGGTTGAGATCTGGTGACTGCAAAGGCCACAGCACAACATTCACATGACATCTTCATACTCATACTTCATATCAGGATATAGGATAAAGGGGATCACCTAATAGCAGCGTATTGATTTACAGTCTTGTAGCCACCGCTATTGAGGTTTGGCAAAATATAGAGAAACATAACATGACAATGATAAATAAAAATTCTATTAAATCTTGTGTCAAAACCAGGGAGTCCCGCAGGTTGCCTACTGTACTCTGCCTACCAGGGGTTGTCTACTCTAAGTGGACCCACACCATGTCAGCAAAATGCCCCCCATAGCACAACAGAGCCACTGGATCCACTCACTGCAGGGGTCAAAGATTCAGGCCTGTTCTGTTCTCTTCACGTACGGCACACATGCACTCGCCCACCTGTTGAGAATATCATGACTCATCTGCCCATATCCCTTTTTTTCCCTCCATCTCTGTTGACCGGTGGCTCTGTTTTTTGCACCACTGAACTCTCAAATGTGTGTTCATCTTTGTAATGAGGGTTTTAACGCACTGCAACCTGACTATAATATCAATCTCTATGTAACTGTCCACTGACTGTTCTTGCTGACAGTCTTATCTTGTCCTGCACTGACATTCTCAGTCACCGGAAGAAGAGTTGTTCTTCTCTGTGACCGTATTAACTGATGTCTTTCCCATAGATCTAAACGCAGTTGTTACCTACCTACTAAGTTCCTACTGAAACATGAGCCAGTTTTATGACTGAAGCTCCCGTCATCCATGCCCCAACAATGAATCCCTGTTCAAAGTCACTTCCTCTTTCCATCTTGATACAGAATCAGAATCATCTGGGCCTGCTCTGTATTTTTTATACACGCCACAGAGCATGATTGGATGTTAATTGCTTAATCGTACCATGAACTGCAGCTGGCAAGTTTTTTCTTTAATTTATCACCCGTCTGTGTCTCTGCATTAAAAAAGAGGAAGAATACGACTAAGGCTGCCTCTCCTGCAATTTCTGCCAGCATTGTCACTGACCATCGATGCTTTTAGCTTCTCTGTAATACCTGTCATTTCATCTCGGCTCTTCAAAATGCTCCTTTTCAGTTTCAAAGGTAGGAGAAGTTGCAGGGAATGAATGCAGTGCTTTCTGCCAGTGTGATTCAGACTTCAGATGACCTGCTTGAATAACACATTAGCTGTATGCAATTTACCCAGTTTCAAAGGTTCAGTGTTCTATATAGTCTGCAAAAAATCCTTTCTGGGTCAATTTTCTGCAGATGAAGGCAATGTGTACAATGGTTTTATTACACTGTACACCAAACAGGAGAACGATAACCCTTCTAATATCACTAGTTTGTATGAATTTCACACGTTCAAGCATTGCAAAGTGCCTCAATTATTTGCCTGAGCAGAAATATTAAAAGCTTTAAATATCAAAAGCTTTAAAATTTGATAGAAAATCTGATTGATGAAATGTGCAAACCGCCATAGTTCTGCTTGTATTTTATTTTTTTTCATTTTATGCTAAAAATATGATAATTTATTTTGTTGAGTTTATCCAGTGATTCATGAAACCTGCAAGCCCACCTTGCAGGGGTATTTATTCATTGGTGTATTGTATAAAAAAAAGATGGACTTAAGAACAGACATAAAACTGAAAACACAGCATGAAAAGTAAAAGCGAATTCAAACTCTCTGCTCCAACAAACGTCTGTAGGACCTGAATTTAAACATGCAGCGTGTGATTTCCTTAGCATAAAACAGATATGATCTCAAGATGTGCTCCAAAGAACAGTTAAATATTTAAAACTGCTGGAGACGTGCACCATATTAATCAATTCAGGTAATAAATTCCTATGTGTTTGGTTGTTTTGTGAGTTGAGTTCTTATCAAAGCTAAGGTGTGCGTCTGTGAATTCAAAGAGACAAGGTGTGAAGGAAAATGAGGCAAGCAGATTCATGAACTCTCTGCAACCTCCCAGCTCCTTGCAAGTTGGTTCTATACAGCAGCTCCCACCCATTGATATCAGCACCTCATGTCTTAAATAATTCAGCAGAAAATCACGCCGCTACCTGATTCTCTGCTGATACTGTACTCCCGGTGTTTGATTATGATGAGGAATAGCAGAGTTGTAAGGCAGCACATCCACCAGGTAACATGGAGATGAATTAAACAGAAGGCTAAACAGAAAGAATGATATGCGCTTCATGATTATTATGAGTGAATTACTACACGTGGAATACTTTATCCTTCAATACAGGCATGAAATTCTTAAGGTTGTTGTCAGAAACTGTGTGCTGTTGACAACATAAGGTTTCAGTGCACTGCTGCATTGCAAAAACCTACAGGAATAAAAAATAAATTGCACGGCGTTAAGCTCCAGCATCACTTAAATTAATGCAGATCATTCATATCAGATGTATTTTTAAGCTAATGATGTGTTTTAATGTAATGCATGTTGGAAAAGGCTCAAAGGCATCTGAGGCAGAGCCCCTGAAAAATGTTTCACACTATGATCAGCTTTGGCTTTTTGCTTGTAATGGATAATATTAGCATCAAAATGTTGTTTTATTTTTTTATTTTTTTTTAGTAGACCGCATCCAAATGAGAAACTGCAGTGTATTTTCTGCACAGCTTCACAGTGTGGAAATAAATGGGTAACCTCATCTCTGCCACAGCTATGAGCGTGTTTTTAACAGTTTCCTTCCTTCCCACAACATACTTTAGAGTGTCCCCTGGGATAAAACTGATCTTTCGACATGAAACAAGAGCAGTGAGGAATATCAAAGAGCATATCTGAATCTGAGAGCCGAGAGACGGAGAGATCACTGACTTTATGAGCCAAATGTGAACATGAATATGTCCCTAATGGACTACAAGAGACACCACTGCTTTGGAGCAGAATCCTGTTTTCATATGTGGAGATACTGGCAGAAGCAATTAAGCTACCTAGATGATTCTCCATTGTTCAGATGTATTGTTAGAAATACTGTAAAAGGCCCCATTTTCTGTTCCAAAATAGAAAAAAGTCTTCATACAATCAACAAAATCACATAATGGTGTCTGAAAAGAAACCAAAAAAAAGAAGTGCTCATCAAAGACAACGTACAAAGAAAAACAACCCTCTCTCTCTCTTAAAACAGCGCGTCAAACCTGCATTGATTTGGTGTAAGTAAAACACTGAAGGTAAGGTTTACAAATGATTTTAGGCTGCCTGTTTACTGCTCTTTTTTTCATTTTTTTCATGTTTGTTATTTAGATCAGGTCATAGATTTAATCACGTACTATTTTCTTTTTGATCAGACACCTTTCATGGAAAATCTTTAAATTCACTTTAAAAACACTCACAAAGTCTGTGACTTTAACGTGTGAGATGCTTGCATGCAATTAGAGCATCACCCAAACTGCTGCACTACAATGTACAATGTGAGTGATGGAGCCTCACAAAGGTCAACGACTCTCAACCCTTGCAAGTCCTACTTTCTCTGCTTCTATTGTTTGACATACAGCAGACATATCCCCTCACAGGTGACTTCAAACTGATTATCAGTCAATATCAGAAGATTTGTACCTTTCCATATTATCAGAGAGAAATCATTTTTATTCATTAGTAAACTGTGATTTCAGTGTGAAATCATTAAAAGTGAATGTTATTGATCACTTCACATTTGCTGCTCTAAAACCACAATGTATGCAATGCGTCTGAACGATAGAGAAAAGTTACCAATTTTAACATGCAGAGATATGAACTACTGCACTTACTTAAGTTAAGAAAATGATAAATGTATCCCATAATTGTCACTAATTATCACTGCTTCAATGTAGATCCAATTCATGCCAATGCCAATTTTAAAAATCTGAAGGTTTTCTATTGTAAAAATAGATTTACTGTCAAAATTCTTTCAACTGTTTCACATTATTGTTTTGTGATACAGACAGATGGTGAAATAAACATGGTAAGTAATGTTTGGAGATGATATGGTAAAATAATCTAAGCTCAAAAATCCTCTCACAGTCTTCATTCATCGAAGCTGGTTGAGGTGTCACCTGAGATATTATTAAAAGCACTCCATCAATAGTAAGGGGACCTTTGAGCTTCATCATATATTGTTTTAAAAAGGTCAAGAACAAACACATATGCAGATGTTAGCAAACGCTCTTTACCCAAATATCCAAAATAACTATTCCAATCAATTCTGCAAATCAAACAACTTTGACTTTTATTCAATCCATGTATGGACATCAGAGATGCATTTTGAAACAAACAACAACATGGTATTAATCCAGTGCAGTTACGATAAGATTTTTTTTGTCAACTGTCAGCTGGTTCATAAATCTTTCATCTCCATGTGAGATAAGGCCTCAACTGACTCCTCAGACTGTAGTGACTCTCATGACCAGCTCTCGTGTGCTATTGCTGGGTTGGCTGCGAGCCTCCGGCTGCCTCAGGTGGCTGAGGAGGTGGAGGATGTTGTAGGGACAGTGTTGGTCCGGCACTGTGCTGCCGCTACTGGGGTCCACATGTGTTCCCAGTCCTCCTGCGGCCGTCACCACGGTTGTAGAAGTGGAGCCAGCGGCTGTGGAGGCTACCACCATCAGCGAAGAGGTGGAGGTGGACACTCCTACCCCAGTCTGATAGCCCGGGCTGGGCTGAGACACAGTCCTGTCCACAGTGGAGTTCTTCAGGTCCTCGCTGTCCATAGACTTATCGTAATTCAGGACCTTCCACTGCTGGTTCACAGCCTGCCAGCGGTGGAAGATACGAAACACAGAAGGTCCCTCATGGACAATTAGCGCTGTGGAGATCAGAACATCAATTAGACAATGTGACTGTCTGGCAGCAGCAGTCTTCATGACACCACAAAGTGATATATATCTCTGCAGTGGTAGATTCACTGTGTTCGAGTCTGCAGAAAGTATTAGCCGAGGGAGCAGCAGAACAAAACCACTCATCTTTAAAGCATCGCAACATGACCCCGAGATAAGGTCTTTATTTCTTAGAAAAACTGTAGACACGGTGCAACTTATGACACAGCGATACTCACTACTTCTGGATTTAGGTTTGCAAAAATGATGCATCTGTTCTCTGGGGTTGTTCAATAATGCCTTATCACAGTTTAAAATTGTTTATTGATTCGTGTTCATTGAACTCAGTATCTGGAAAATTGAAATCAATCTGTAACAAGAGATGCTTGGACCCCGAGATTTCACTGCATTTTCTTCCATATTAAAGTAATGTAGAGGGAAATACTGTATGAATGGGGATGTTTTCTAGCCTGCTTAACCTGATAATGTTCTGTACCTTCATCACCACTACAATGCTGGCTGTAGTGAACTGTATATAGAAGCTGTACTCATCAAACGTCTACTTACAGTACAATATTGTCCTTTAAGAAGTCACATACGGCTCAAATATTGCAACAACTATAGTGAAAGAAGTCTGCCAAATTTGGACATTTAATAATTCTCAATCTATTCTATGTTTACAGAGTTGATTCATAATATCCCCTCCTCTTCAGCTCTGTTTCTCTCCCACTCTAACTTTGTGGATAAGTGAAAGTCAGGTCTTTGCTCTTTAATGTCTGCCAGGTGACAAGTTAATCTCTGTAAAGTGCAGAGTTAATGACTCTGCACTCAATCCTTGCTACCAAACCGGAGATAATCAATCTCTTCTTCTGCTCATCCTGCTGTCTGTTAGATTTTTCTTAATGTGAGATGCCATCACACAGTCATCCAAAACACACGGGCCCCCGGGCTTCAGAGAGGACAGCAGGCTTAAAGCGAGTGCTACAAGATTCAATTTGAACACCCACACAAAATCCAGAAGATGGTTAAAATGCTTCAATGCACCTGTTTTTCCTATTATATCAACACACGGAGGTCTTCAAAGTTTGCCTGAACTTGACACTGCAGCTGTTATTATAGAGCGAAACGCACTTTATTGTATGCTACGAAAACCTACAGTTGTTGAATGGTGTCTGATTGGATTTGTTTAAAATTGATCAAATCGACTGGCTAAGGAGAATTTCACTATATGTATAGACTATACGACTGCACACGCAGATGCTCCTTAAAGCTTCTCTATTGTCGACTTTATGGCTGAAACACGTTTTACCTTTGACAGAAATAACCTACAGTAATTGGAAAAGGAAGCGTGGGGTTTGGATTTAAGACAAGCGGACCTTGAGACGATTCTCCCGGCCAACCACAGCGGACGCTGTCGTTCCAGGAGAGGAAGAGCGCCGGATAGGAGCCGTGGTCCAGCTTGGACTTAAGGCTACTCCTTTCTAATGTCCGGTCTGGACTAAATGAGGCTGGCCAAACAACAGGAAATCAGAGACTGTTGTGCCCACATCTTTACAGAGACCTTCTCCATCAACGTCAACAGAGTGCATAACGAGAGGGGGCAAACGTTTATTTTTCTATGTGTGTAGCACGAAGGGAATGCAAACTTTCATCTTGCTGTACAATGATAAATACATTTCCTCAATCCTTTATTAATCAAGTAAGCATTGAGCATAGTGACAGTAATATGGTGATGACAATGATGTGTCCAATACAAGTTAAAGCCAGTGTATCGAGACTCAACACACTCAATATCGATATTAAGTGGTTGACTGTGTGGTATAGATTTGTCGTATTGATTGTCAATAGTTTAAACTGTTCTGTGGCATTCACGGTCATTTGTGCACATCCGGCGAGTATGTTTGCTTTGCCTGTTGAATGCATAATGTACCTGGAATAATGTGACCAGACTGGAAACACTCAGTATCACTCCCAGTCTTAAAATGCACACACTTTATTCAAGAGGAATTATAAGAATCAAATCAAAAGTAATGTAACCAATGTTAAATATAGCACCTCACCGATGCAGACGACATCCATGAAGCCGTACATGCCGTAGCAGATCTGGAAAAGCAGATCTTGGCGCTGCCAGCGGGCTGACGGGCTGAAAGACGACCACACCAGCCAGGAGATACTGGCCATCAGGAACAGGGAGCCCAAGATGGCCGCTGCTATCTGCACTTTCTCTATCACTGTCAGAGAGATGGCCTGCCACTGCAGGAAGACACAGACCACAGCACAGCTTAGCTCTTTGTATTACACTCTCATTTCTCTTTTAACTTTACTGAATACTTAAAGAGAGATACCAACATGAGAAAGTTAAAATCACTCAAAGATTTTTAATTAAAACATCAATATTAAAAGTTAATCAAGCTGATAAACTCCTCCACCAAAACAAAAGCATTAAACTTCAGGGAACGCTGCGATGGGGAGGGAGGACACCGGCGTGGGGCAGGTAATCTGTACCACTGAATTAAAGTGAATTATTTATACATGCAAATAAAAAATGTTGTTCACAAAAAACTAGGTATATGAAGCATGAAATCAAAAACATCAGTGCTGCTTCTTCTCACAAGTGACCCTATCATATCACCAGAGTCCAAAAATGGGAGAAAAGTTGCTTTTGCAATCTTTTTGTTCTACAGATCAGAGGGAAAAAAAGTCGTGTTTAATTCAAAAACTTTTAGTTTTAGTTGAATTCCTCGGTTTATGGTAAGAGCAGAAACTAGAGCCGGAGTACAAGACAGTGTGATTCATGAAAATCGTGTTTTAGGTGTTTTTGTCCTAAATACATTTGGATATGAAAGCCAAAAATGCATCCAAATGAGTGCCAGAGGAGAACAGCCTGGGGCTATCTACTCCTCTGCCCATAAAACACAACAATTCTCCTAATGACATGGAACAACAGACTTTTATTACTCACTGTTTTCAACCATTTTCCTTTTAAATTTCTACAGTGCTGCCTTTTATACCTGTAGCTCACCTGTAGTGGGTTCTTGGTGCTTATGGCAATGACCTGATATTTGTAGTAGCAGAGTTCACAGGCCCAGGAACCTCTCTCGCTGATCCATTTGATGAGGCAGGGCTGGTGGGTGCAGCGTACTGACCCACAGCACCGACACGGGCTCAGGAGCTCCCCCTGTAGGGAAAGAGGCAGAGTTGGTCAAAACCAGCAACCCACAACAAGAGTTTTTCCATACTTCAGCTCATTTAAATGCATAAATATATGGGTTTTTGGTTACATATTTTTACTTTCAGTGGAGGACAATCTGTGCCACTGCTGGTGAAACATGAACCTTGCAACCTGTGCAGCGCTGTGATGTAAATAAAGAAAAGTCCTACACTGATGCATATTGGATTACATTTTTCAGCAGAACCACACGACATGCAACAGAAAGACTACACCGACTACAACAGGAAGACAATGGCAAAAATTGTATGATTCAAAATACCCGACTCAACCTTAAGAGCAGCCGAAGTAGTGATTTGGATTCAGAAGAAATATCTCCTTTTAGAAATAATTGACCGGCTTAGATAACCTCTTTTTCATGCAATATACTGCAGGTTACACTATTTATACGTTTATATTTCCTTGCAGTTCTTTGTGCTGGCTTATTGATTTTTTGCGCTTTGCATGCACAGCCAGGCACACACACACACACACACAGCACTGCACAGTCATATTACAGCAGAACACCAGTTCAGGTGTGAAATGGAAGCTTTGCCTCACACCTAGTTGACAGGCAAAATGCTGGATTACTAGTACTGTTGAAAAGTGAACGATTAGTCACTGAAGCTTTCGTCAAAGAGCAAACCCCAACAAAGCAACAAAATACTGCGCTAAAGGTTTACTGTTACGGCAGCTCTTAAACTGAATGCAGCTGTCATATATACATAACTGATTTTGCACAGTTGCAAATATGGTTTCTTCAGACCAAATACAAATAAATATCGAAGGAACACTTCATTTTCGCCTTTCCTTCCTCCTCTTTCTGCTCTCCCTGTGCGCCTTTTCTGCTTGCACTTGATCTTTGTTAAAGGCAAAGCAGGTTTATTTGTATAGTACCTCTCAAATGCTTTACATGAGACATAAAAATGCATCGAGAAAGCATAAAAAAGAAACACAAGGCAATAAAAAAATTTAAATATGATTTAAAAGAGTAAAATAAAATTCAAGATAAAAACAAGATAAAACAGAATTAAACAGCCCCAAGTAGACACAAGTTGAATAATAAAATGCATTGGCAAATATGAAAGACCTGACTTAAAAGAACTGAGTTTGTTCCAGAGATGTGGGGTCTGGACAGTTTATAATGGGGCCGCAGATCACAAATGTACTTTGGTCCTTAACCACTCAGTGCACCAACAGGAGTATTTGGGAATCAATTGTTTGACAAACAGGAAGCCAATGTAAAGATCTGAGAACTGAAGTGATGTGATGTGATCCACTCTCCTGGTCTTGTTGAGGAATCTAGAAGCAGCGTTCTGAATCGGTTGCAGCTGTCTGGTTGACTTTTTAGAGAGACCTGTAAAGTCAGCTTTACACCCAACATATGGACACACACACACACACACACACACACACACAGTTCCCTAATTCTTGATACATATTGAATGTGACAGCAGGATGATTTTGTAATTGTTTCAAAGGCTCTATTGGCAAAAATGGAATATAAAATTCAAAGGTGTGTTCACATTAGTGAATAATCACCTGAAAATCGTTTTGTTAATTTAAAATGAGCCCCGAATCGCCTTCTGTGGAGTTTGTCCTGTTAAACCACCATGTTTCTACAGCAGCCCAGAATGGACAAACCAAACACTGGTCCTAGATAGGGCTGTTAAATGTTAGCAACTGAAGCTACATTTACTGGAAAACATCAAAACAATTGTTTAGGGGCAAGAAGGTGTTTAATTGTTGAAAAGTACCCTTATTAATGATTTTATTTTAATTTTATATAAGCCTATAGTTATTCATTAATGCGACGTCTAGATTGTTCTTTTTTAAGAATGGCTTAATAACTGCAGTTTCTCAGTGGTGGAGTCGCTGTAGAATAGAGAAGTGTTTTCAGATTTTATGCCATGCAGTTAGAAACACTTGAAAAAGCCAGTAGGAAGAATATTAGGCAGAAGGAGGAGTTGTTGCACAATTTCTTCCAAGATTGATAGAATTAAATTATGTCACGCTAACTGAATTAATTTTAAACTGACGCAACACAGAAACGATACCTGATATGGAGGTACTGACGGCTTGTCTAGTTTTCTGAATTTTGTCAGTGAAGAAGGAGACAAATTTATTGCATGGCTTAGTGATTAGTTGAGGGGCTACTGGCACTGGAGGGTTTATCAGTCTGCCAACAGCAGCAAATGAGGCATGTGCATTATTATTGTTTTTGACAAAGATGTCACATAAAGGAAAATTTTAAAATTACATTTCTGAACTTACTGTCAGTCAGGATACTATTATAATTAAAGCCAGGGTAGGTAACATTGGAGAAACTAGCAAGACACGGCTAGATTTTGAATCCAACCCACACTCACCTTAAACACACATGAACAGACAGAGCGGACCACAGCACATCGTTGTCATCACTAAGCGTACTCAACTACCTGGTGTCTTATTCATACATAGTGCTACATACTACACAGTTCACACAAACTGTGGAGCAGACTGGTGGAAGACTCTGGTCAAGCGCAATGATTGAATGAAATGATTAGCTGGGCTTGCTACAGGCCTGTGGCGGCTACATGTACTGTTTTTTTCCCGGAGGATTTGATTTATTGATTGCTGGCAGGATGTAAAGAGAATTTCATGTAACAAAAAATGCTTCTGAAATACTTTACATACCCTGACTTTAAGGGCTTTTCCCCTACGTTGGCCTGGTGACAGCTACATATGATTGATTTCAATAAAAAGCCTATAGAAGACTCTGTAACCCATCAGCCAAAGTGAAAATATGATAATCACCAAATTTGGCATCACAAGCTTTCACTTAACAGCAGTATGTGCTAAGCCATTATTCTTAAGCCGTATTCAGCCCGAGGAACAAATGAGAGATTTATAATCTCTCGCCCTGGGTCCCAAACTCATTAAAATATATTACTAGTCTTGTCATATTGGATATAGATGATGACCCCAAAGATGTAGGCCTGCTACCCTTTTTAAGCCCTGACCTGCAGTTAAGGAAACTTGGATCTATAAAATTCAAAGCAGGACCTTCTTGTATGGATGTGTTTTAATCTTAATGGGACTGAACAAATGTAGTGTGTAAAAAAAAAAATAGCCTCTGCTGCAACAGAGCTCCCCACCTCTCTAAGGTGAGGCATTCATTTTCTAAGCCAAGGGAGGTTAACTCAGCATAAAACATTCCCTGTCCGTGTCTACCATGAACATGGCATAGAGATTGTAGGAATAAATGCAAAATGCTGTGAGTTTCCAAATTATTTCTCCATGCCACCATTGTGCTGACATCTCTGACAGACGGAGCAGCACCCTGGTCGAGGAGAAGGGAGGGAAACGCAGGGAGTTAGAGGAGAAAAGGCCCATCTACAGATGGTCAGGGTGGGAGTGTATTGGCAGGAGCACCAGAACACTTCTGCCGTGTCCAGTGGGACTTAGACCGCTCACTGTGACCGGCCTGATTGCAGCCAAGAGCTGAAACCTAGATCACTCCAGTACAACTGAGGCTGGAGAGAGAGCAAGAGAGACTGGTAAAAAAAAATGTGGCATTACAGCCCACGCATACAGAAAGTGGTAACTAAATGTCCTTTTGTTGATCAAACAACAATGATCGTTGAAAAAAAATACAATAGAACAATGTATTAAAAGTCTGAAAGCTTTGGCTGTGTTATTCCATTCCTCTGTGCTGCATTATCCCAAAAACACCTCAGTGCACCTAATTTTCTCCTTATAAAATTGGATCCATTCCCAATGTATAGGACGACATGAAACTAAATTAGAGATGGCTATTCATATTTCTTAAGGGTCTGGAATCAATGCAAGTGAACTCTATTAACTCTGGGCAAAGGGAAATTGTGGTATAATAAACTAGCTCCCATAGAAACTGAATGAAAGCGATTTTTACAAATAGCCAATGACATTCAGGCCACAAGCACTTCTTTAATAAGAACCTGCAATACTGCAGTCATCTAAGAAACGGCTTCATATAAGCATTTTAACCATATTCAACAAGTTAGAGGGACAGCATAATCACTGAAAAATTAAACTGAAGGTCGTATAATTTAAAATGTATTTATCTGTAATGACTGCTCATAAAACATATGCTGGGTGACGTTCCAGTCATTGCTTATTTTACAGGAACCATTAGCCCTACAGTGACAGTTAATGGTCCTTTAAAAGAAATTGAATAAAAGAACAACTAGGGTTTATAATTTAAGTTTATGAATTCACAGCTCCTGTCTGTAGACTTCAGCTAGGCCAAAAAATTTAATGTGTGTGCTTGTGTAACTTGTTTATATCCCATTCCCAACAAATGGCAGAGGAGCCATGCTATGATGGAAAACAGACAGCATAGTGCGTCTGCACTGTGGGGCCATATAGAAAGAATGATGCTAACTTGACCCCTCGAGGCTTTCTCATTGTGCCTCAGACAAACACACTGTGCAAGTGCATTATCGGTGTTATGATTTAGGAGGGAAAGCCGACATTTTTTTCTAAGCAGCGGGGACTCACATATTCTCAACATGCAGCTGAAGTGAGGACGGGACATAAGAAGCATCAGCCCCAAAGGGCACTTCAATGTAATAGTGCATGACACTTAAGTATCCCACACACACACAAATATTCTGACTTTATTTTATATGTTACTCTTTAAACATCCTTTTTTACAAACGTGTGCACTATGTGACTATTTCCTGTAAATGATCTGAGGCAGTGACTCCTTTAGAGAAATTGGTGATTCTTCGAGGGACGAGGTCAAGATCGAGTCTGAAAGCACAAGCTTAAATAAAGCAAACGCTCCATGCAAGCAAGCCAGGCCCCCTGTAAAGCTTCTCGCTGACCTTTAGCTGAATGGAACCAATAATAGATTGAAGTTTGAAAAAAAATACATGAATAACTTGAAGTATTGAGGCAGAGTCGCATGAATTCATGTCATTTCATCTGACATTGGCTCAGCTGTTCATTATACCGTACTTTGTGTGTGTCTGTGGATGTAACTCCAACAAAAGTCGTCTGGGTTAGAGAATCGTTTTTTTTCTACCATAAGAAATGTTAACCTTAACACAAAACTCTCATGTCCATACACTGAAAGAGAGTTTGGTCACTGTAATGATTCCTTCTGTCCATGCTGGCCCTGAAGAGATCTCTTCGTTGTCTAAATCTAATGTGAGCAACGGTGGAAAAACCCCACAGTCTTTGTTCTGTGCAATCAAGTGTGTATTATCCAAAGTCTCTTAGTATGAAACCCCATATCTGTGTTTTTCAGTGCAGCGTTTCCTTGGTGAGCTGTCGGGAAGGGGTAATAACACAAAGAGGGAATTTCGTACAAAAAATAAAAACATTTGATAGATATCCACTTGATTTGGCTTAAAGACTTGAAGATGTGAACCTATCCTAAAAACACAACAGGAACGTGGAGGAGGTCGTGAATCACTAAGGGCACCTCAGAGAAAACGGCACCAAAAAACGTCGACATGAATTCGATTACACAGACTTATTACGTCGTTTTGGTGTCATATTAAATCAGAGTACAATCATTTTTCAATGGTTGCCTCTGTCAGACACTCAAGGCCCATTTCTAGTGGGATGCTTGAGGAAAGCAATGTCTCTTGCTCCCTTCTTTACTCTGTCTTGAGGATCTCAGCCTTGGGAATGGAAGTGTTTTGGAGGTGGATTGTCAGATCAGATACTGGCTGCCTCGGCCTATGTGACATCCTGGAGGCTATGGGAGAACAGAGGATAACTAATGTCCCCACTGCCTATATCACACAGTGACATGCAGACAGTCCACTCATCTCTCCTTTCACAACGGAGCCTCATTCTCCTTGCACCCATTTACACCTCGGCAGATCCATATCTGGACTTCACCCAAACCAACAGCAGAGATCGAGCGAGCAAGCAAAACTTTATTTATGACAGCGAAAGGGAGGCCGGTGATAGATAAGGACTTGCATAATGATAAGGCGGCATGAAATCAAGTGCTATTGACTGGCTGCAATGTCTCAAGGAAGCGTCGATGAAATGAGTTTGGAGGAGGCCATGGGAAATACCGCAAACTTTGAAGGCAGTGCTTTGTATGCACTGCAGAGTGCGCTGGCTATCTGTGGAGTTCTCGAATAAAAACAGGGACGAGGCCTTGTCTGCCAATCTCATAACTAGACCCCATGTCAGTAATAATTACAAAGTCTGTGCTCAGAGGTGGAATGATGCACAGAATCGCTGTTGGGGTAATTAGTTGATGAAACGCAGAGAGATTATGGCCCATACACAGTGCAATGACCATGAAATGATACAGTGAATCTGCTGCTTGGGTAAAGCAAAAGCGACCATGAGTACAGACTGCCGGATAAAAAGTTATGTTCTACACCTCGGTTATCTTGCTCCACATTTTTTATGGTCTCCCTACCTCCATTACTAATTGGTGAGGTGTGACATATTCGTCAATGCGGTCTCAAAGGCTCTGTCAAACAGTGGAACTAATGTGTCTGAAAATTGCTAAGTGCCAGCTTCTGTGTTATAATTTAATATTATTTATGGCGGCACACCTTCGCCGTCTTCTTTTAGATTTTTCCTCTCCTGATTGATGTAGTGTGACATTATCATCAATATGGCCCCAAAGACGGAGGCACGCAGTGTGATTAACTTGAAGGCTCTTCTCTTCTGTGCACATTATTATTATTTTTTGCTGTTTCCAGGTGGTGTGCCTGAGCGGCAAAGTGAGAGGTATTATTTGATTTTTCATGCATGTAATGCTTCAATATGAATTCATAGTGTTTGGCTATAATGAGTTGTTACTGCATCCCTGTGTATCCTCCACACTTGTCAACCAGGGGGACAGGGTCTTTCATTATCCTCCCACTGCTAGCTATAGCTGTCTTTTCAAGCCACACAAAAGGGATGAACGCAGGATGCAGTGGGATCCCTGCTCAGAGGGCTCTCCAGCTGCATGGGTGCCCTAATAAGACACTTGGAGTGGGTTATTCACGCTGGAAAACAAGCTTGCATCCTCCTGTGCCATAAAGGACAGAGGCTGTGCTAGGAAGGAATGATTGCTTGATCTAAATGTTCACATTTCCATCACCTGGTCTGGTAGATAACCTAGAGCAGACAGTTTGGAGATTTCATTCCAACTCATTTTGACAAATGTTGAACCTTCAGGGAGCCGGTGTGTGAGAGTACTGGATGAATGGATTAGATAAGAAACTTCTTCCATTACATACAAATATGTTATTTTAACAAATTCCTTGACTTACGTGTTCTGGTCCCTGGAAGCAGATCCTGCACACGGGCGTCCTGAAGCCACTTTCCGTGTAGCTGGTGAGGGAGAACCTCTCCTCCAGTTTGCCCTTCGAGCAGTCATCAGAGGAGCTGCTGCAGCCGCGCAGGGCAGCCGACAGCTCTGCAGCATCAACCCAGCCCGCTCGCTCTCCGCCCGGTGGCCCGGTGGCTCCTGCTGCAGGTGGGGCGACCCGGTCCCCTGCGTGCTGGTGGCTCCGCGTTAACGTGTTGTTGTTGTCGGGGACGACGACGGCAGTCTCGTGGCTTTCAGTAGTTTGGCCGCTCATGGGGGTCAGCGGAGGCAGCGGTGTCGGCGGTGCCGGTGGCCCGAGCAGGAGCACCCGCAGGTCACCGAGCAGGACGCAGCAGCGGCTCTTCAGCATGCCCCGGCTGCGCAGCGTCAGACTGTCTCCGGCCAGAAACTCACAGCACCGTGCAAAGGTGCTGGAAGAAAACAGCGTGTACTGTGTGCGTCCCCGTCATGAGCAAACACTTCTTCATATGTCGTGAGGTGGGATAGTGGGGGTAGAGGGTGCGTTGTACAGCGTTTGGTGGCGTTTAAAGCAGCCTTTTAGTGATATTCGTGTATTCTAATTTAAAGTCTTTTATTGTCCTCCCACGAGAATGTAAATCCAAAAGGCGAATATATCCCATCGATGCAAACAAGTGTCTGAAGCCATTAGGTTCAATAAATGGAACAGCTAAAAGAGGAAAGTCAAATGTTAGATTGATAGGAATATGCATTCAAGTAATAAGGCTATGGCCCGTACACTCAGTGTCCACTGTCATTTCATGGCCTTAATAGTCTGCCTGATCCGTGCAACATAAACTATCTCGACAGGCTTCTCCCTCCAGATTCACGACGAGTGCAGAAACCAAGAATCAAATCTGCCTTTGGTACAACGGAGCCGATAATACAAAAACAAAATGTCAGCGCTCAATCTTAAAATTCAAACACTCTAACAAAAAAAACCAAAAGACACATTTTTTAAAATCAGGAGAGCTCAGATTACTGTCGACGTCTTGTAAGGCTCTCAAAGCAAATCAAGTCAATCGATGGCGTGCCATGTTAGGGAAGCGAAATCTGTCTTACCTGGCGAGCTACCCCCGATCTCTACACGACTCACAGTTTCAGGATTTTTTTTTGTTTCCTCTCACACATCTCCAGCCAGACTGCAGGTCGCTGACAAGTCTGTGTGAAGCTTACATCCACAATTAACGAATCTCCATGCCCCGAGGAACAAGCCGATGGGTTTAAACCCCCCCTCTCCAACCCTCCTCCTCCTCCTCCTCCTCGGTTAAAATCCAACACGACTGCCGGACTGTCCTGCTCTGGGTGAAAGCCTCTGTAGCCCCGGACTCTCCTGTGATCATTGGCTGCTGGATCGGTGCTGCAGCTTCAGCACCGTGATTCCTGGGACAGCTCCCAGGCGCCGCACGTCACCACCGCCCGGTGATGCAGCCAACTCATTACTACCAACGTGGACTGAGACAAATACACAGGGAAAACCGGGAAAACCGGGAAAACGGGTCATTGCTTGTTTTAGGCGAGACATCCGTCGTTACAGAGGGAGACATTAAGTTAAATGTGACATCGGTGTTTCTTTTTTCCCCTCCTCTCCGAAGGGGGAGACGTTCACTGGCTTTTAATTATGCACACGGAGAGCAGAAAATTAAGTTGCACCCGTTGATGATCAATAATTAAACAATTCAATTATCAGGCAACACAAGGCGAACAGGAATTATTCATAACAGCTCAGCTAAATAGTGGCATTTTGCTCAACACGGATATCAATTAGGTTGGAAGTGGCTTCAACCTTCAACCCAAAAGTAGCAGGGATTCAATTAATGATCATTACTGATTCGTCTGCACCATCTTAATCTGATCGATTTCCTGATCAAGACATTCATGTATGATCTCTAAATGGCAATAAATACTCAATAATACTCATCACAAGTTCCCAAAGTCCAGGTTGGCTTAAATGGCTTGTTGTTGCCACGAAAACCAGAAAATAATCTGCTGTAACCAAAGAATCTGTGGCAGTTTTGCATACATAATGACATAATGACATAATGACAAATTAATTAATCGTTAATTAAAATAGTTGGAGGTGGGCGTGGTTAACATCCAGCAGCAGCAGGAGGAGGAGTTGGTTTATGAGAGCAGCACCAGGTGAGTTGATTGTCTCAGCTGGTGCTTGTTGAGTAATCACTCTCTCTTTTTAATAGCAGTAGTGTGCTGGACAGCTGCCACACACACACACACACACACACACACAAAAACCACAAAAAAAACACAAAAAAAACACAAAAAAAACACAAAAAAACACACCGAAACAGACACACACAGACACACCAGCATGTTTGGAATTTGGTGCTGCGTTATAGTTTGTTAGGACGTGATAGAGAAGCCGGACAAAGAAAAAGGAAGAGTTGAATATTTTATGGTAAATGTGTGTGTGTGTGTGTGTACAGCCAGGAAATAAAGAAACTTTTGTTTGTGACCGGTCTGTGTGTGATGTGTGATTGTGTGCTGGGGGAAACCCACAGCTGCAGTGAGACTTGCTACAGTTGCAGATTAATTTTGTTTTTAGTAGATTTATCATTTCAGCACTACCACACCAACGCCTTGCATTCAAACTCTTACTGAAGTCAAAGTACAGAAGTATTATAAAAGATGTACCAGTACTTTAAGAAGGTACTCATAATGCAAAATAACTATGAGCTATATGTTAGACTGTATACTGTTTAAAACTTGAATCTGGAGAAAAGTGACTGTCAGGAAATATGCAGATGTGTAGCAAAGTAAAGATTACCACATTTTCCCTCTGAAATGTAGTGGAGTGAAGTTCATAGCACAAAATACTCAAGTAAAATACAAGTACCTCAAAATTGTGAAGTACTTGACTAAATGCACTTGGTTAACTTTCCCCACGGATGAATAACGCTCACTTTGGAGACATTTGATGAAGAAAGGGGTGAACAGAAAAGACAGACACAGGGGAGAGCAATTAACTGGCTAGTCAGGGAAGCTGTGTCGCTAGATTGAATAATTGAAACGAACACACCTGTGGCTTGACTGACTCCAGCAGCAGAAATGTGTTTCTATTTTTTGTTCTTCTTGTCAGAGTTTATGTAAGACTGCGGTCAGGCTAGTGGACATGGGGCGAGCATTTACCGGACTGCCAACAGTGAACTGACACATTAAATTGTAGCTCTCTCTCTCTCCCTGCTGGTTTTCTATTCTGGCACGTAATTGCCGGTGGATTGCTCTTGCATCTCAGGTGAAAAGGAGCGCCTGATTTAATAGCTATTGAAAAGTAAGCCAACCAAGACAGCCGATCATTGTAGGATTAACTTACAGAAAAAAACAAACCCGAGTTAGAGGCTAACAGCAGTGACAGGAGAAACAAAGGAGCATTTTATCTTATCTTATCTTAAATATTCAGATATTTAAGTGAAATTATCATTTCCACAATGTAAGAAAACAAGTAAAAGTCCTTGATTCACTATCCTGCTTGAGTCAAAGTACAGAAGTATTATCAGCAAACTCAAACTTAAGAAACATTGCCCCTTATTCTATCACACTGCTGCATCAATCTGCAACTTTAACAACTTTATCACATTGTTTTGGTTGATCATTAGGTTTAGTTAGCGTGTACATTTGTCATGTGCAAAGTAACAACAGCTGTCAGATAACTGTGTTGTAAACAAACACAACATTAACTTATTTACTCCTAATCCCCAGCTACTGATAACACTGGCACACAGTGGAAATTACAGAAACAGTACAATCAGGTTAGCTCCAAATTTCACCTGACCACCGACACTGCAACACCTGAGTGGGTTAAATCTACTGTTGTTATTGTCCAAGCTAAAAGTGCATCATGTTTGCAGTTACAGGTATTTAAATGTAATAACTTCAGAGTTGCATAAACTTTATCAGAAAGAGGGTTCACTTCTTATTTTATAAAACAGTTTTTATTTTAACAAACACATCAAAGACACAAGAAAAGTAACGTTAAGCTGTCAGCTCGTTTAACTGACGGTTGTTGTTGTTGTTGTTGTTGTTGTTGTTGTTTTTGCCGTCTCTCTACATCACCAGGCAACCGCGGCCTCCACGTGCCTGCTTGTTTTCATACGTCACTTCCTGCGCGGCAGTTTAGCAGAACTAGCACTAAGTTAGCACTAAGTTGGCGTTTGAGGCGTATTTCGACCTGCTCCGTTCGTACAAACTTCGCAATCTTTTGCCGTGTTTGCATCAAACTAGTTTGTCATCTGACCCCACACGAACGGACGCTCACTTTTGTGTAAAACCACCGTGTCGCTGTAAGTTTTACTGTCGCCGCCCACGCTAGCAGCGTTAGCTCCTACCGCTCACACACTTTTTTTTTTGACAGTCACAGCTGTAATGTTTAGCCCAGATGTGCTCGCTTGGATCGCTTGTTTGTAGGCGAGTCTGTGAATGTTGATCGTCATGTCTAAGCAGCTGACCGCAGAGCAGCAGCGACAGATTGAGGAGAATAGACGGAGAGCTCTGGAGAGAAGAGCTCAGAGACTCGGACAGAGCAAGCAGACCTCAGCAGGCTTCAGCAGCACTTCAGTGCAGGTACAGCCATCCAAACTGAGCTTTACCGCGGGTCCTGCTGCTCTTTCTCACCACAGAGAGACACCCAGCTCAGCTTCTGCACCGAAACTGTTTGTTCCACCCTTTAAAAAAGACACACAGAGCTTCTTCAACCTAAAACAAGGCCCAAAGCATCAGCAAGTGTCTGGCATTGGTAACCAAATCAACCAGAGTACACTCTCTAACTCTGCTTCTTCCAGACAGGTGAGGTTTGTGCTGTAATGGTCAACACTTGGAGTAAAAACCACTTGCAGTATTTTCTAATTCCTTGCCTTTCCTTGTAGATACAAGTCATCGATCTGCTACCTCAGACGAAAAGTCCACATGTGAGCAGCCCGGTCCTGTCTGGCGGAGGAAGCAGTGGTGTGAAGCCAGCTCATCCCAGACCTAACCTCGCCTCCAGCAGCTCTGGTGGTGCAGCCGGTTCGTTCTACAAGCACACTAATAAACCCGCCCAAAGTCCCGTGGCACAGCAAGCCTCAAACTCATCAGCCTCGAGTGCTTTACCTGCAAAAAAGCCTGCCATCTCTGTAAGAGGAAAATGTGTACCTCACGCAGAGGACCGCTTCAGAGTAGAAGTGGGCTACCATGCACAGCTTATTGCCGTTTTCAAAGCCATTCCCTCGAAGAACTATGGTGGGTATCTTCCAGCGCAGATATTCTTGATTCTTGATTCATTGCAGCCGCACACCTTTCTCCACCCTCGGAGAACAAATACATTATCAATCTATGTGGAAACACTGATATACATGTTAAGTTATAACCACATATAAACAGATTAGCCCTGTCATGTCACTGCATTTGCAGAAGTAGTACAGGATTGTAAAAACACACTCATACGTTCAAAACTGAGCCGAATTTCCAAACACAATATTCTAGACATACAGTACATTGTATTGCACTCAGTTTTTGAGTTTCTGATTTGTTGTATTGTGCTCTGCAGCAGCAGTGCATTGTCATTTTCAAATAATACCCTGCCTTGGTGTCACAATGCATCTGTAATCAGGATAATTTGCAAAGCCAAACACGTAACGAATGACTCAACTCACCACAATAAAAGCAATATAAACTCATATCCTCCGCCAAAGCTTCAGTACTCTCCTCTGTAGAAGAGGCCAAATACACAAATCCTTTACAATCCCTGTACCATACGTCTAGTTTGTTTTTTCATCTAAATGTATGTGCTCTCTTTTGTAATAATAAACTATTCCGTTCTGCCTCAGACCCTTCCACAAAGACGTGGAACTTCAGTCTGGAGGACTATCAACAGCTAAGTACGAACTTTTCTTCCTCAGGACTAAACAGAAACAGAATATTAGTCTTCTTTGGGCTCCTGCTGCATCTCCTGTGTCTTTACGCTGTGTTGCAGTGGAGGAAGCAGCTGCTATTGCCTCCGTGTCTTTGAGGCCTCTGGAGGGAATGGACGCAGTGGACGTCGCAGCGGCCACCAGTCGAGCTCGTGACGGCGCGGCACTGGGGGCGCTGCTGAGGCTGTGCAACGGCTGGCAAAAACCTGGAGCCATTCTGCAGGGCCAGTGCATCCTGGTGTCTCAGACAAAGTTTGAGGTCGACATCGGTTACCATGTCGACGTCATTGCGGCGTTCAAGCAGATGCCGACAAAGAGCTACGGTAACGGTGAAATGATGCAGTTAATATCCTCTTTCTGTCTTCTTGACAGTGTTGCATTTGCATTTTACTGCTTCTGATATAGGGGTTTTTTTTTTTTTTTGGGTTTTGTGTGCGGCAGACATGAAAACACGAAAGTGGAGCTTTTCGCTTGAGGATTACAAGAGACTCAGTGAGTAACAACATTTGCTTTATTTAGCTGGTTTATCGCTGTGCTCCTGTTTGTCTCCGTTACATTTGCCATCTTGTCTGACCGTGCTGTGTTCCATACCCAGTGGATCTCCTCAGTGGGATGGCAGCAGTGGAGGTGGAGCCTCTGCCCAGGGCAATAGTCCAGGCTTTCTCTGCCAGGTTTGACGGGACGGAAGCCAGGTCTTTAGACGTCCCTGAGGCAGACCTCTCCAGCATCGACCCCTCGCTCACACGCAGCCTCATGCCCTTCCAGAAGGAGGGAGTCAAGTAGGTGCCTTTGGACAGCCATTAGTGCTCTCTCTGCGTGGTGTAGCCAGTAACTCAATACCAGGAGACAGCTATTCATCTATAATTTGCTCAGTCTTGTGCAGATGAGCAGATAGTTATCATTATAAGCCAATATTTCTGTGCCATTCCTCTGTGATTATCAAGTTTGTAGATTTACAGGGTTGGGTCAGCGTGACTCCCACTCACTGTCCTGCTGTAGCTTTTTTTTATTTGAGTATTTCTGTGTGTCCCTGTAGTTTTGCGGTGTCTACACAGGGCCGCCTCCTCCTGGCTGATGACATGGGCCTGGGAAAGACTGTGCAGGCCATCTGTATCGCAGCCTACTACAGGAATGAGTGGCCCTTGCTAGTGGTGGCTCCCTCCTCTGTACGATTCACCTGGGCTGAGGTAAAAACATCCAGCGGAGTGCTTTTTTTGTTCATTTAAAGTTTTGTGCCTGGAAGAAAAATGGCTCGTTACTTTTATTAGGTGTTAAGAGTTTATCACATTGTTTCTGTTTAATGGTGTCATTATCAGTCTGCATTAAGTCAGCAGGCACCCTCTTTAGAATATCCTTCCAGTCTCCTGTGACAAAAATTCTGCCCTACACATTATAATGCTGGTTTCTGCTTAAAGCTCTCTGCATTTGAAGAATGTTAATACTGTTCCCCAAGGACTGCTTGCACTCTGTTAGGTACTTTATCTTCAGTAGGGGAGATGGCAGTATTAAATGCCATGCTTCCATTTCTTTCTCTCATGGGGGCAAATGATAATTTTGAATTGTGAAGAGATGATTTATGATGGTATTAAAGTTTAATTAAGTTAATTTATTTGGCTACTTAGATGAATTCTTTTATTCATAAAGGTCTGATTCCTGATGTTAAAGGTTGAACTATATGTATTTTCTTTACACTCCATATTATTTTAGATTTTAGGGCCTTCTATTGGAATAATGCTGTAAAAATGTAGACTGGACTTGTGTGAGAAAGAGAGGGTGACCTGCAACAGAGGTCTCTAGCTGACATTGAAGTTATTCAGTACACGTCTGAGACCACAAGGCCACTATGACGTCCCCACTCTTGCCAAATCATTGTAAATGTTAGTGCCTCTCTGTCCCCGTTTTCTTTCTACAATTTCAGTCCAATTTGAGAGTTCATCTCAGGTCTCCCCTTTTTTGTTGAGTGTTTGTGTGTCTCATGTTTTGTAGAATCTATTCTCTGTTTAACTCGCAGCAGCATTACCCTGCTGCACCAGCAGACACATTTTCATGGGAGCTTTACTCTGCCTTCTGTCTATTGACAAGACAAGACAGTCTGTTCTCTAAATAGATATCTTGGATCAAACGCAGTGCCCCAATCAGGAGTTGGAATCGCAGAGGAGAGTTTAGTCGCAGGATGGCGTCCCCATTAAAGGACACTTGCTCTGTCTGGCTTTGCTGTTATCTCCACTGTTAGTCTTGTGCATTTGGCCAGATCTACTGCAAAACATGGGAGCTATAACTTATTGAGGTTAAGGCAGTTTGACAGGCGAATGGAGAGCAAGTAAGTGAATTGTCAGAAACATTTGGGTCAAAGTGGACATTTTTCTAAACCACATGATCACTTCTGAAATGGAAACACTGAATAGTAGAATGAATTAGTAGTATTAGCATTCAAATCAGCTCTCACAAAATTACTATTGAACGTTTTTATGCTGTTCATTACAACTTTCAGAGACTGTACTTATTCCCAGCGGTAGGGGGAAAAGTGCAGCCTGAAAACAACACTGTTATTCTGAGGAGTTTTGTTTGACTCTGAAAGTATCTATGCCTGCAGGCGTTCAGACGCTGGCTCCCCTCCCTGAGTCCTGACAGCATCAATGTGGTGGTGAAGGCCAAAGACAACCTGCGGTCTGGTTTGGTCAACATCATCAGCTACGACCTCCTGAGCAGGATGGACAAGCAGCAGCCAGGAAACTCCTTCAATGTTCTCATCATGGTCAGCTGTGTGGTTGAACTATGCAGTGTTTAGAAAGGGCTGTTTCCAGTTTAAAATATATACTTTTGATTCCTAAAACCTTGTTAGCATCAGTCAGTTCAGTCATTTAATTATGTTTTATTTATGTTTTTTGCCCTGAAAGGCTATTACTGCATGTTATAAACAAAATATATGATTTTGCCATTCTGTGCAGGATGAGTCTCACTTTCTGAAGAACATGAAAACCGCTCGTTGTAAAGCAGCCATGCCTCTGCTGAAGGTGCGTATTCCTCTGCTCTCTTCTTTAGTTTTATTTTCATTAATCATTTTTGCAAGTGTATGTGTCAAAGAGTGTCTCTCAGCATCCTGCTGCATTCAGGTCACAAATCAGATTGAAGGGGGTTCCGCGTTTTGCAAGTAAAATGATCTTAATTAATTAAAATGTCTGGAACATGGCCATGGTGTACATACAATTAGCCATCATTTGAACAATTGATTAGATTTCCACAGCAAACCAGATCTGGGATTTCTGCCATTGTTATGTCTTAATGAACAAAGGCTGAGTCTTGTGCAGTAGATTTATTTTTTCAAAGCAGAGATTTTTACTTGTCATAACAGAATAATAACACAGGTGAGAGATTTGGTTAACAGTGGCTCAGTTCCATTAATTGTTCCAATGAATCATGCCAGTGAGCCAGCGTACACAATACCAGGAATGTGGCAGTGGCAACAGCAAGTTGGAGAATAGATCAGCATTGACAGTGATCTGTGAATTCAAACAATCTTTTAAGAGTTGCACAAGTTTCCAAAAATGCTAAATAACCATTTCATACCTTCCAGATCTGTTTTTTTTTTTTGTATACCTGTCACAGGTTCTGATAGGATCCCAGTACTAATGCAGTGTTCTCTGTGGTACTGTATTAGAGAAACATCATTGTTTTGTACACATATAGTACATGAATATTGGCTGGTAAGATAGATTCACTGCAGCATTTGGTTCATGGTTCTTGCTCTGTCACCTCGACTCCCTCAGCAGGGCTCTGATCAGAGTTGTTTCTCTATCCTTAGGCAGCAAAAAGAGTGATTCTTCTGTCCGGGACCCCTGCCATGTCCAGACCTGCTGAGCTCTACACACAGATTCTGGCTGTCAGACCTACGCTCTTCCCTCGCTTCCATGAGTTTGGGATGCGCTACTGCGATGCCAAACAGGTTAAGCCTTAAGAACCCTTGTCTGTCTGAGTGCGATACTTAATACTGTTGAGCTGTAATTCCAGGACACCTCAGAGAACAAAGAAGACTTAAGGTGGTGGGATTAGCAAATATTTATCTGCCTCACTTACATGGTATAGTCTGAAGAGGATGTCCAGTATGTGCACAGGAGTGGGAATACAACAACAATAGGATTATAGAGGTGAGATTAGTGCACTTTAAAGCCAGTCTGTAAACAGTGTATACATTAAGTTTTCAGGTGTTAGTTTCTGTGATTTATTTCATCTCCTTTTTGTTGCTTTACTTATTCCACTAAATCTCTCTGATTAATTGTAGCGGGTTCAAGTAAGGAACACGCTACATGATTTAAAGGCCAATTACGTCCTTAATTTGGTCATGATGACTCATTTTGAAGGTTGTGGAGATTCTGCTCTGTAGAATTTGGGTTTTATCACCATGGAATTTGCATAAGATTGCTTTCGCATCCAGAGAGAGACTCAGACCAGCTGGAGCTGTCTCAGTTGTGACAGATGTTTTAGTCCTATGCCTGAAAGTGAGATTTTCAGTCTCCTAGTTAGTCTCTGGCTTGACTTGCATTAAAAATAATCCCAGCGTATAATTAAAAAGCACCTTGACGTTGGACACTCTGCTACCTGCTCTCGAGGTTTTTCTGTCAAATGTACCTAATTTCTTTTCTCTCCACTCCTCCTTCCCACCATCCACAATTATCCTTCTGTAACCCCCTCCTTTCTAGATGACTTGGGGGTGGGACTACTCTGGCTCATCCAACCTCGGGGAGTTAAAGCTGTTGCTGGAGGAATCTTTGATGTTGCGCCGCCTGAAATCCGACGTCCTCTCCCAGCTTCCTGCTAAACAACGCAAGGTCGTCACAGTGACCATAGATGGTATCAACACCCGTATAAAAGCCGCTCTGTCAGCTGCTGCAAAGCAGTTGGCCACAAGAAACCGCAATGTAAGTCGCAAATGCCCCGGAAAAACGACAAGAGTCAGAGAATTTGAAGTGTTGAAAAGTGTTAGTATTCACAAACCCTAAACTTGCCATTTTAGGAATAAGGGAAAAAAATCTGTGCATTATTTACCAAAGAGTGCCTGATTTCCTAAATATTTATCCAAAAAAGAAAAGACATTTTTAAATGTCAATGTTGGCTGAAAATAGAAAATTTGAGTTATTAAATACCCAAATGTACTTAGGGGGTAGGGATTGTAACCCTCAAGTCAAATCAAGATTTCAAAGACTGATGCTTCGTATTTCATATCAATTATATAAAATATGATATTAATGTAGAGGATTTAAAATAAAATAAATAGGTTTGATCCTCCTATATGTTATACATTGGCCCTTTTAAGAAAACATAAAATCTTGTTTAACCCCAAAAGTCAGATGTATTAGTTCTGTCCTCTTCACATGGAGGAGCTCTTTCAGGCCTCAAACACAAGTGCCTTTAAACTGATCCCGAATTCTCCAGTGAGCCTTATTTTATGAGTTCTTATACACTCCGATGGGAGTGAGTTGCTGAGCTTGATTGTTCATAATCACACTGCTCCTCAGAGTAATGGCAGTCTTATCAAAGCATCAAACAGAATCTGGTGTCAGTTCTTATCTCTTTTTCAGAAAAAGGAAGAGAAGGAAGCCCTCCTCGTCTTTTATAACCACACAGCTGAAGCCAAGCTGCAAGCCATTATGTAAGTACGGACCCTCTAATGCTGGGGATCAGTAAGTCGAATCAGCTTAAATTTGATGGGTACTGAGATTAAAGTGTAAAATGAATCTTTTGTTAGACCATTGTGATTGCACTGGATTTGAGATAACTTTGTTTCTGTCACTTCCAGGGAGTACATCACAGACATGCTGGAGGGTGGGAGGGAGAAGTTTCTAGTGTTCGCCCATCACAAGTTAGTTCTGGATCATATCACCACCGAACTGGGAAAAAAGGTGAGTAAGACGCACAGATACCACACTGCACACGAGCCTTAAATGCAAAGACATATCATTTTGACATAAAAGAGTACATTTTGACTTTTTCAACAAAGACCGGCTCTTCCGTGGGAGTTAAAGTCAACTCGTGGGTCAACTCAGTGCCTGCAGGGAACAAGTGTAGGCAGCGCTGAGCACATTTGAGCTCAGTGCTACTACTGTATGACTTGTCTTTATTGTAGAGTTTATATGGAAGGCTTGTTAAATTAGTTCGCTGATTTGTTTTGGCCCCACTACTTACAGCCATTCTTTTTTGGTAGGTGTTGTTTTAAGGGATAGTCGGTGGTTAGTTGTGTTGAAAATGGCACAGAAATTGAGATAAATTTCCTCTGCAGAATGTCAATTACATCCGTATTGATGGGGCCACTCCGTCCGCTGAACGGCAGCAGCTGTGTGACAAGTTCCAGTACACGACAAAGACCTGCGTGGCTGTACTGTCCATAACTGCAGCTAATATGGGTCTCACCCTGCACTCTGCTGACCTGGTGGTCTTCGCTGAGCTCTTCTGGAACCCCGGGGTAAGCCATGGAAAGTTATCGCTGTAAAGTAGTATTTTGATTAATATTTTGGACTCCAGTTGGATTCCAGCCCAACCTATGCTTGTACGTCTTATTAAAACCTTGTAAGCAGATGTTTCCAGCATAAAAGCTCTGATAAACCACTTTTAAGCTGCCTGCTAATACGAAATGATGGACATAAAAGACGACAGACTGACTGGTGAAGATGAAGTAAAACATCTAGCAGCTAAAGAGTTTTTTAAATAAGTTGGAAGAGACCCAAAGAGAGAGCTAAAATAAGAGTGAAGAGAACAAGAGAAATGACTCCAAATTAATGCAAAGTTTGCTCTTCTACGTTAACCATTACATCTTTTTAAAAACCAGTATGGTGTATTTTTCTATCTGTCGGTATGTTTTGATCGTTATCTGCCCTCTAGTGGCCAACATCAAGGCTGCGCACCTTTAGCAGCTACCCTGCGTGAAATTTGGTAGTGAAATGTTGAAAACATTGTATCCCTTCAAAAATGGCAGGATGGAACTTTTGGCAGCCTTTTTTTCATCCAGGTTTCATGAGGGTTTGCTCCTCCATTTGAGTGCACACATTACCCAGCAACACCCATTTTATGTGTGAAATAAGTCCACCGTATGTATGTCAGAGGAGGCTGTCCACACTCCCACTCCCTCTTCATGCCAACAGTGAAATGAACAGTGACAAAGATGTGACATGGATCACAGTGCAGGCAAATGGGGCAGTCTAAAATTGGGGAGTAAAGAGGTATCTGTGAAAAAGCATTATGAACCCATTCCTGTATTCAACACAACCGCTTAATCTTAATAGTGCTTTCAACTGGTAGAAGCTGAATTATAAACCTGAATAATGACTTTTATTGATATATTGTTCTCAGGCAGTGGTCGACCTTTAGGGATCACTACAGCTGAATGAAGGCAGGAAACATTTGGTGATAGAAAGAAAACTCAAATGCTCTTATTTTTTTAATTTTTTTTACTGCAGGTTCTCATTCAGGCAGAGGACAGGGTGCACCGTATTGGACAAACCAGCAATGTGAATATTCACTACCTGGTTGCCAAGGGATCTGCTGATGATCACCTGTGGTATGTGTCAATCAGTGGGCAGTATGACCCAATTACACTCATAATGTAACAGTGTTTTAAAGTCTTTTTTCTTCTCATCAGGCTTAACAGTGGGGGGTTGTGCGATATGAATATTGTGACAGGCAGTGAATTTAATTATATTTGACCTATTATATTTACTTTATCTGTGAATTGATCCAGGCCAATGATCCAGGAAAAAATGAACGTTTTGGAGCAAGTGGGTCTGTCCGAGTCAAACCTCTCAGACAAAGCAGTGTCCGCCAGCTTCCACTCTAAGGTATTTAAATGAATTATGTATAATCCTGTTCAGTTTTTAAAACAGCATTCACACCTTTACAACCTGGTTGTTCGGATTTGTTCAGGACCCTAACCAGAGGAGCATCATGGAGATGTTCCAGAGGTCTTTCTCTGAGGATGACAACATGGACGAAGCCCTCTTACTGGAGGTTGCAAATGACTGGGAGGACACGCCTCCTGAAAATAGTTCTGGTCAACACCACGTTATGGTCGGACAAAGCCCCAGCAAAAGGAGCATCAAAGACTTTTTCAGCAGATGATTTGGAAACTTAATTCCATTTTGAAAAATTATATTAACGTCACTTTGTTTTCCTTTATTGGGGGGGGGGGCTCAGTTCCTTGTTTTTATCCTATCATGACAGATGAGAATTTAGTTTCAAATTCTTTGTTATATAACCTTGTTATTTTAATAGACACAAAATAATAAACCAATATTTTTGTTTGCTAATGAGAGAAAAATAACTGTCTGACTCAAGGTTTTTCAAGTGTAACCTGACTGGTTACTATGGGTATGGGATTTTCAATTGATCCACCAGCCATAATAACACCAATAACTTTGTTGTAGCGTTTATAACTTGTTATTTTCAACAGTTTGAAAGCCTAATCACTTATTCATATTGTTACAACATAAGAGGTTAAAAAAGATCTAAATAAACAATTCAAGATGGACTGAACTACTAATCTAAATATTATCATAAGTGCAATATGCAAATTGCAGACTGTGACAGTGCCTACAAATTTTTAATTTAAGAAAGTGTGTGTTTGGTACAAACCCCAATAAATGTCACATCATCATGTGTTTAATAGGCAAAAATGTTCATTCACACAATTAAATATATAGTAAAAATTTGTCAAGATAATCAATATAATTTTTTTCCCCCATAATACAGCCACTGGTTTCAGCAAAATCTAATGTGAACCATGTAGGGTGTGTAAATATCAGATATTCCATTTGTATTTCATTGGTTTACTGAAAATGTGTTTTACCCATAACATCACAGAATGAGCCTACAATACAAGAGAAACTTGTGTGGTGATTGATTCAGTTCGAGTGCTCGGTATCGTCACTTCCTTCCGTCTGTGGACTGCAAGAATTCAAATTAAGTGTGTCACCTGTAGTAAGAGAGGAAAAAAAGCAAGTGTCTTCTGACAACCACAGATTGATGAATTCCTTATACAATAAGATTCTGCAACCAATAAGAGTATTTGATAATGTCGTATTGTCCAAATTCTTCAGCCGTAAGACTAAAATATTGTTATATTAATGCTTAAACAAAACAGGATCACAATGTATTGCAGATTTGAATTGAAATTGTCCTTCACAGCAAACATGCAGCTGGTCAAGATTTACTTCCATCCCCAGACAAAGACTGAGAGCAGTTTAAATCTCTATTTAAGATGGTGTCTGTGACATTATGAAGATTAATGGCATCATTTGTCTCTGAATCAGAAGAGATACTTCAATTCAGACAGCTCATAGAAACTATCTGAATTGTCAGTATTAAGAGACAAATCTCCTTGCTCGCTATTCTCAATTCCCAGGACATAGTGCAGTCATTACTGTGTCCTAATTCAGGAGATGGATCCTCTGAAAGATGCATCCGCACTTGCCTCTCCTCCTAAAATGAGATTTTAGCCTCACAAAGACCGAAAGTGGGTTTTAATTTAAAATCTTATCACAAGGAATATCAGCATTAAGCTGTGATATGGTACACATGAAAGAAATGGAAATTATTTGTTCTGTTGTTAAATTGTCATTACATCTGGCAAATAGTGCATTATGACTTGTTTAAGGACTCAAAACTCAAAGTTTAGGACTTGGATTTGACTTGGGACTTCAGTGCAAAGACTTGAGACTTGTAACTTGTGAAACAATGACTGTCCCATCTCTGCTGATGACCAATGCCACGGAAAACGTATGTCTGTGCTCAAACTGACTCAGTGCAAGGGATTGTTGGATGCTAAGGGGTGCAAAGATCTATACTACTGGTTGTTCCCTGTATGAGCCTTCGGGCAGGGACAGGTCTCTGTCGGCCTGTTATGACATATTCAGTCTAGAAATTCAGACGTTGAAAGATTGACCCCTTGAATTGGGGCAGCTAACGCCAGTAAAACCCTTCCTTCTTACTCACTGTATACCTTCAAGTTGTTGGTGATGGTTATTGGACATTTCTTCAGAGCTTGACATTCCTGCGTTGTCATCTGCAGAACAGTCTTGCTCTTTTGCTGAAAGAAATCGATCTTTATTTCAAGCTCAACTTTACAGTAATTGTCATTACGCCCATATAAAATATAGCTAAAGAAATATAATCAGGAATAAGATTTAAAAACATAAAAACATCCAAACAAAATTGTGACTTATATGAAACCAGATGGTGTGACAGATGGAAATGACTGTCAGCCACATCATGATTACCTAAAGTGGTTGTGTCAGTCTCTCCGTCTCCGGTGGGCTCAGCGTCTGAGCAGATGTCACCGAAGATAAAACGGATCTTCTCCTCTGCGTGCTGCTCACTGGAGGAGCCGTGGACCGAGTTGTGGAGGATGTCGGAGGCAAAGCGGGCCCTCAGAGAGTTTGGGGATGTCGCCTTAGCTTGGTCAGGGTCTGTGGGGCCCATCATGGCCCTCCACTCCTCCACTGCATTTTCCTTAGTCAGGATGAGCATCATACAGGGCCCGCTGAAACAAACAATGACAGGATGAATTTTGTGTAATGTAAGTTGATGTAAGTGTCGTGGGACACTTACTGTTGTTACAGTACAATGCACCTTCCCAGTAAGCATTAATGCAAAGTATAGACATCTGGAAGTTTGAATTACTGTATTTCAAGATGTAGCTTGGACCTACTTGACATTAAAATGTCGTTATTAAAATTGTGTTTAAACATATATACCAATCATACACACCACCTGGTGTTCATAATGTTATGCAGCCCCA